ACCATCAACAACTCCAGGTGAATCAACTACTGATGAAACTACGGTAACCGAAGAACCTTCAACAACAACAATCGGCTCAACCACTGATGAAACCACTGGCACTGAAGAATCATCAACAAGTCCAGGTGAATCAACTACTGGTGAAACTACGGAGACCGAAGAACCTTCAACAACAACAATCGGCTCCACCACTGATGAAACCACTGTCACTGAAGAACCATCAACAACTCCAGGTGAATCAACTACTGGTGAAACTACAGTAACCGAAGAACCTTCAACAACTCCAGGTGAATCCACTACTGATGAAACTACGGTAACCGAAGAACCATCAACAACAACAATCGGCTCCACCACTGATAAAACCACAGTCACTGAAGAACCATCAACAATTCCAGGTGAATCAACTACTGATCAAACTACGGTAACCGAAGAACCATCAACAACTCCAGGTGAATCCACTACTGATCAAACTACAGTAACAATCACAACAACAGCAATCGGCTCCACCACTGATGAAACCACTGTCGCTGAAGAACCATCAACAACTCCAGGTGAATCAACTACTGTTGAAACTACGGTAACCGAAAAACCATCAACCACAACAATCGGGTCCACCACTGACGAAACCACGGTTACCAAGAAACCATCAACAACACCGCGTGACACCACCACTGATGAAACCACAGTTACCAAGGAAACATCAACAACACCGCGTGACACCACCACTGATGAAACCACAGTTACCAAGGAAACATCAACAACACCGCGTGACACCACCACTGATAAAACCACAGTTACCAAAGTGCCGTCAACAACACCAAGCGGGTCTACTTCAAGCAAATCCACAGAGACGACAGAGACCGCAACAACGCCTGGTGAAACTACTGCTACAATTACCAATCCTGTTGTTACGACTCCTACCGAAGCTACACCACAAAGTAGTCCAAAAACATCTACTAGTGCGCCGTCGAGTACCAGTGCAGCCACTACTTCGGCAGGAAGTCGTCCTCCTAGAACAACCGCGTTGCCATCCAATGACGTAGGAAGTGTTGTACCAAATATATTTACAATTTTCGGTTGTGCTGTTATTGTATTTTTGAAATTCGCGTAGGTTAATCTTAATGGTGAGTTATTTTAGGAACTCTAAGGATTGTGATATTAAAATAAGCTGGCCAGGTACATAGGTAGCAAACAACGGAACCGTTGAAATTTGCCAGTTACAATTAACTTTTTTGTCCCATTAAAGCGTTTCCGCATTTAAGGGAAACTCACTGCATAATTTTCATCAGCTTAGTTTTAGTTTTGGGTTGCTTAAAGCAATTGAATGAAAATTAATTTTTAATGATGAAATTTTATTCTAATTTTGATTGCTTTTTATATTTATTTATTTATCTGTTGTATGCGATATTGCTTTCAGAATTTCCTGCTATAACATTTCTACTAACCCTTAATTGAGTGGACCAGTGCGTCTTTATATTTGAGAGTATTTTCAACAGAAAATATTGTACCGTGGATGGCCGAGTATTAAACTCTTTCTTCAGCTTCCAACTTTTATTCCACTCGGTACAACTTTAACTACGGAACAGGAACAAACTAACTT